ATAAATAAACCTTTTTGTCGCATCAGTTTCTGCTGGAATGATAGTTGTGGCAAGTAAAGGTAAGATCTATATACTTCTTCACGGAAGGAACCATTCTTATACTACACTAATATGCTGTTATTATTTTTATTACTAAGTTCAAATTTGAATGGTGTTATAAAACTAAATTTGGGGTGCAGGTGTGTCATGACATTACAATTTTAAGATATTATTTTTTTTTGAACATTTAGTTTTTTGTAAAATAAAACACTGCCTGTAGCGATGTAATTTTTGATCAGCTAAGGAATAGCGATTAACTAATTAGATGTGCTAATTGGCTTTTGGGTTTGATGTATGTGGATGTATTGGTGGACATAAAATGGTGAATGTTCTAAGAAGACCTTAGAACCTTTTCAGGCCATCGAACACATTTTGCAGGATCATATTATATTTACAAATGCCAGTCATTTAAAGTATGTTAATCACTGTATGTGGTTTTGTGTGAATCTCCCAGACTACAGCTCCGTAAGTAATTATAGAACAATTTCTATATCGATTCACGATAGTAGTTTTAATACACGGCTCTAACTCTTCTTATCTTTGACAAATATGACTTTGTCACTCTTTTAAAGATGACTACTTCATTGGACAAATACCCCTGAAGTATGTTTTTAAGGTCTGCGAATGGTCACTGGGTACTAAATCTGGTGGTTTCGATGGATATGAAAGAATTTCGTCATTCTTACTCTTTTGATCAAAACGCTTTCTTTCTTCTTCATTTTGGGCAGTGTTTTTGCAATCTCGTCCTTCAATCGCGCCAGTAACTGTATATAACATTCTCTGTTGATGGTTTCTCCATTTTCGAGAAAGTCGATGAATATTATACCATGCACATTCCATAATAGAGATAATCTCACCAACCCCTGTTACGCCTTTGCTCACTTTCGACAACTTCCATCACTTGCTGTTCACTCAATTGACTAGAGTTTTGTTTTCGAACTAAAATGGTGATGTTTCATCCGTTATCACATATAGATGCAAAATATCCTTTTTCTTTCGTTTAAATAGCTCCAAGCAGATGTCTGAATCATCAAAGCCTATCATGTAAATCATGTAAAATAAGCCCTATATGTTTTTTGATCATTTTTAGAGTGTTAGCTGTCTAACAAAGGTACTCTTGCAACTTGATTTTATGTTTTTCCAAATCTATTTTGAGGGCAATTTTTGACGTTATCCGGTGTAGTCGCCTTGTTTTGACAACACCAGAGCATGATGTCTTATCAGTATCTGTACGGCCTCTTTTAAAATCAGAAAACCAACGTTTGACAGTAACTTTTGATGGATGATTCATTAAGCCCAGCTTTGACTTTAATGGTATTTATTCTCTTTAAATGCTTATCAAATTTAAAAGGCACAAAATTGCTTTAAAGCTATTTTTTAAAAAATAATAAAAGTAGAGTTGTTAAAACCTTTTCATCTTCTGAACTATCTAAGCTAAGCTAAGTACTTTATCATCACAAAAATATCAGATTTTTTTAAAGAGGTGTCATCCATATGTGTCTTGTCAGCCGATGTCACATATTCGCTCAAGTATCATGGCATTAAGATTAAAACAGAGCAGTCAAAATTTTGGTAAGCAATTGCCAGTTTTCTTCTCTTTCTGCAATAAAATTTCTCAAAAACTTCCCAAATCATTAATTTCCTCCACTTGTATCCTAGTCCACTTATGCAAATAAAGGAATAAGTAAAAGTTTCTTGATATTTGACATAGAAAAAATTTTATTTCCTACTTCTTTAAAGTTTAAAATAATTGATTAAATACTTTACGGTAAATTAAGAAATTTGAAAAACTTTTGATGTGAAGCCAAAAAAGGAAAATAATGGAAAAGACCAAAAACTCATTTATCCTTGTTTGCTTCAAATTTTCCATGACTTTGACTTGTTTCCGCTTCCCCTTTGGACAAATTGTCTGCGGCTTTGCAAGAGACATTCACTTAATTTTGACTTTGGCAAATTATGTTCGTTGTCAGTTGTTATTGGTTTTGCTCTAATAAGTGGCAGTCGCCATTAGTGGCATCAATTTTAGGGGTGCTCGGAAGGAAGAGCTCTTACTGATTTAATATCGTTAAGGTTGACAATAGTTTGTATTTAAAGGTAAATAACTTCAATTAAGTGAAAATTCAAAACACATTAGTTATGGGCTTATTTCTTTGAAGATGATTACCAAGGAGGAGCAGACAACAACGTGAAACATTTCGTTTTAAATAAGTATAATAATAAATAATATGATATAATAAATTATTGAAATATAATAATATATTATTGAAATAATGTGCTTTAACAAATAAAATCATTTATCTGGAAATACATCAACGGATCTAAACAGAATTAAAGTGACATTTTGATAACCCCATGAATGAAGAAGGAATCCAACAAAGTTTTCTTAAAAGCCACTCGAAATTGTGTTAAATAAAAATTTTATTTTATTTAGTTTTAAATAATCTTCCAAGCTCTATCCATAGAATTTTTATCCATCTCACATTAATATTACTGAAATTGCTCCTATCCAACTCCTTACATTTAATCTTCCTATGTGAAAAGTAACCCGTTCTCAACATTTCTGGACATGCTTCCTTTTTGTATCTGAAGTGAGGTCAACTGAACGCTTTTAGTGCGTTTGCTTAATCTGCTTAAGAATTTGATGTCAATTTTTGTGAATAAATTTGATTATTTGTGTTTAACAAAATTATTGGATTAATTAATAAAAATATGCAATATAATTTTAATTTAATATAATAATTTGAAAGGATGAAGTGTTCTCCTTTATTGACTGTTGAGTTGTTTTAACAAGATTTAAGTATGTGGGACAAAAATATCTACGGAGCAATTAATTTATAAATAGGATCTGTGTTTTAGAGGAATACGATTAGGATGTGAAACATAAAACTCTTAACAAAGATATGTTGGATTTTTGTTCCAATTGACCAAATTAGTTCAATAAATAAAGAAAACTCGGAACTTATTTATGAAAATATTTAACTCTCTTTGGTTGATATCCATATCTCTCCGTGTGGTTGTCAATGTTATATGATGTGGCAAATATTACTGAATTTACCTTCCTTATTTGTTTCCCAACATGAAAGATTTTTTAAGTCGCAATTTTTCTTATCTAAACTAGATAATCTAACTCCAGTATTTAGACACTCCACTTAATTTTTAGCAATGACATTAAATTGTCGTTTTATTGAAAGGATTCCGTTCCTTCATTTTACCTAGATTGGATGTCTAATGCTCTAACTGCCATCGGTACCAATTATATTTTCATAGATTTTGAAAACTAAACTATATTTCCTAATGTGACCTTATGTTTTTCTCGTTATAATAGTAGTGAAGATCTAAGCTAGTAGTCTATGGTATATGGCAGATAACATAATAATAATTAAAAAATGAATACGTGTGATAGGATGTGTTTGAGTAAAGGAAGTGTGATAAATAAAATGATCGTTTTTGAACAAAGTAGATTATGGATAAGTGGAATTTTAATTAAAGCCAAACTGGATTAAGAGCGGAGAATCTTGACACATTTTTTAAGATCAGTCATCTAATATCTAATAATGTGGTGCAAGAAGCTACATCAAAAACATCGAATAGTGATGTTTAAAAGTCAGAACATATATACATATGTAAATAAATTGATTTAGTAAATAAAGTTTGTAGATAAAGTAGTTTAGTCGGGTAAATAAAGCAATAAACAAGGAGATAAAGATTAGTAAATAAGAAATGACAATCATACGCAACTCAAAATCAAATCAAATTATACCCATTTACATATATTAAAATCAGATAAACCTTTTCGTTCTACTTGCGGTGTTTTATACGTAAACATATATAAAGTAAATGAGAATTATAAAAGTTACACATCTCTAAGCTTCCACCGCACCACATCCATAAAAGCTAATTTTATGATTTGAAACTATGTAAAAGCTTTATTTTACTGACTTATTTTTTAACAGTAGTAATATATATTGTGATGTATCATAGTCAAATGAACTACGTTATTCCAATAAAATGTTTAACACTCAAGCCGTATATTTATTAAAATTAAAAACATGTGTTCATCCTATTTTATGGTGTTTTATATATAAATATATATAAAGTAATTGAGAATTATAAAAGTTAAACACTAGCAAAATTTAAAAAAATACTCTGCAGCTGTGAGCAACAATGTAATTGTATGTGTAAGAGTAATATAAAACATTTTTAATATAATATTAATTAAAATAATAAGCTCCGTCTGTATTATCATAAATAATAAAGAACGTAGAAATAAACCTCTTCAATGGGATATAGCCAAAGATCACTTGGACTGAAAATACGTTATGCAATAGTATATGCACATGAAAACAGATGAGCGATGCTAGGTAGAGATAACAGCCGTTATAACATGGGAAATTGACTTATTTATGCGTGACATGAAACTGTCTAGTACATGGTTTTATTCTAACCTTAATTTGGTTATAACAGTTCTTACTACAGAGGGAAGGCGGGGTTGGGTTGGCTCCATTGCAATAGGTAACAATGTATTAATGAGATGACCATCTGTAAGGCACGTAATATTTTTTAAGCAATAGTTGATTATACTCTTTCACAGAATAGCATATTAGATTCTGCAGAAGTGTGGTCAATATGTGTCATAAGATAAGATGTTATTCCATTGTGCTTTACAAAGTTATGGGGTATATACTTTAGCAGTAGGGATCGCAATTGGATGCCATATTACTTTATATGTATCCAGCAAGGGCACAAGAGCTTGCAACGCATTGTTATAACACTTCAGTCGACTGCACATCTCCGTATTATGGGAGGAAAGTATAATTACTTCCTCATTTCTCTCTTATGTGAAACACAAGTTTATTTTATTTTATGAATAGTATTATTGAATGTATTAAACTTACAAATTATAACAATAATTCTTACATCAAATAAGAAGTGGAGTCAACACTTTTTGAAGCCCCTTTTGGAATTTAGTTAAGGCTATTTATTTAAGACTATTATTTAAGACTAACTTAAGACTGATTTTATTAATTTCTTATTATATATCTTATTCTAATTTTATATACCAATAACAATGTTTATATACATAAATTCTCTTGATTAAAAATGGTTATTTCCTAAACCCTATATACCTGCATCATTTAATTATAATTACAAATGTTTCCGTCTTCCACTTTAGGAAGACGGAAAAGTTCTTTGCGAACATAACGAGAAATGTATTCCTTACGATCTTGATTGTCAGTGGATTTGACGACAGCTGAAGACCTAACTCCTTGCTCTTTAACGCTATGCTCATTGAAGGCTACTTTAAGACAGTCAACCGGGATGTTGGTCTTTATTCCCTTGATATTAACACCAAAATACTTATTGAAACGTTTAAACACAGTGAAGGGTTCTTCGTATGGGGTTTGTAGAGGTTCGCAGAATTTTTGGCAAATACTTGATCTGAGGAAGAAATGATCCTTTTCGATAAATATCTTTACTCTTGAGTGATGAGCATTACTATTATCCGAAATGTTGAGGATTGAAATTAGTTTTATAAGTAGTTTTTTGACAGTTTGCTGTATTTAGTGCATTAGAATTTTACTCATGCTTTGATGCTGTTGAAAAGGTGATGAAATCACAAGACACGCAATATTTTTCTTCTATCATTTTTAGTGTTTTTGATATTTACAGTGACATTTTAATCTTAATGCCAGAACTTAACAGTAAATAGGGAAAGTAGGACACTTTTGTGATTTCTTGTGAATAAAAAAATAAATGCTAAATCGCTTTTTAAAACCTTTCTTCTGCTATTCTACATGCACACAATCAAGTAAATTTCCTATATACAAATTTTCAATCTACAGAATTCATTGAGTATAGCAGAAATCAATAATTAATGCTTCAAAATTAATCTTTAAAAAATTACTCCAGTTTGGCATGGGCCAAACAGCTCTGTGGTTATTCTAATTATTTAGTTGAACTATAGTTAAAAATAGAAATTATATATAATTTACTATAAAAATCTAATAGAATTTCAAATGAATTTGAAAATCTCTAACCTATCACCTCTTTTTCTATTCGACATAGAACTTTTCATCTCATACAATATATAAAAATATTTAATTACATTTATGTTATACAGACAGTCATATCACGAATGGTCACAGTAATTTTTACCTTTTTGGTCCTGACCAAAAGGCATAGCATAGAGAGAGACAAATTACAATTGTCAACTACAACAACATTATTACAACAACAATTTCACATTAGATGTGAGCATGACTGTCTATATAACTTGGCCTTAAATATCAAGAACAACCCAAGTTGTTTATATTAAGTCCCGTCTAAGCGTCAAACACAATCATCTTTCTGAAACATAAAATAATATATAATCTTTGTTAAATTTTCTCTCTTTTACAACATTAAGTAAATAATTACTCACCATAACTACACTATAACTATAGTGAGTATGTACACTTAGTGACTATCACTTATTCTGCTATTCATTTATGACGTCATGCTGTATGTGCTCGAATTGATTTGAAAGCAGTTGATTGGTCAAACAATCTGTGCATTGATTTAAATACGTGAAGCAAGTATTGCACCGCCAGCGAGTTTTCGATTGTGGTTCAGTTAAACAAACTTCGCATTTAGGACAAAACAAATCTGGTTTTACATCCTCCATTGCTTGCTTCTCATCCCGTATAATCTTCAGCATACTCAAAATGCGTTGCTTCTCATCTACCGGTTTAGTGATTGTACAACTTGGTTGTTGTGCACTACCATCATTAACCGACAATTGCGTTAGCGAATAATCATCCTCTGGCATATTTACAGGCACGTTTAATTTTGGAAAGAAAGTTGTTGGCTTCTGAAACATTTTATGTTTTGCACTTTGTAAGCGGCGTGCTTTTGGTATACGACCTGGTACCGGCATCCCAGCATTATGCAATTTTAAAAAGTACTTTTGCACGCGACTAGCAACTTGTTGTGGTGTGCGATTGCCCAGAGCTCTAGCAATTTTAGCGAAACGTTTCTGTTCAATTGGTTCGGCAGGATATTCAATTAAAAGCTGTTCCAAACGACGCTGCTCCTCACATGTCCACAACTACGAAGAATAATATAATTTAAAAAACATTTTTGTCATTTACTTTAAAATCCATGAAACAATAAATACTTGATTGAATGAGCGCGGTTTGCTTTCATCAAACATTCTGCCACGCACTGCAGGTGGTACACCTGTTTGTGGCTCCTCATTCTCAACTTTAATTTCGGGATTAAACAATCTATATTTGCCTTTGAGTTTCGGTATCTAAAGAAATTATTTCGTTGATAAAATAAGTAATAAAATTTTTAAAAACAAATGAAAAAATATACCTCTGGAATTTTCACATCAGTGCATTTGACAATTGGTTCATTGTTTCGCAATTTTTCTAAGAGTTCATTTGGGTTATTCAAATAATAATGTTTTGCTGCCATTAACTCCTCTATATCATTATGCACCCGCACTTGTGCTGCCTCAAGTGCAACAATGGTTTTTAATAAATTCGAATAATCTTCATTGCCGCGCAAAGCTATATGGTCACTCTCAAAATAGAACACATTATCTTCTTCCTCCTCACTACTCATTTTCACTTCTTCCTGTTTAAATTATAAATATTATATCCTTTTAACTATTTAATTCTAAATATTTGGTTTTCGCTGCTCAACATGCTGCAGCTCTTGACTTTTGAATGTAAACAACGCGTTGCCAAGCATACAAATTTTGAGAAAATATTTAGTGTTACCAGGTTTTCTGTCAGTCAGTTGACATATGTTAAGATATATGAAAATATGACTGGTTATATTCAGACATAACTCGGTAAACAGTTTATACGGAATTTAATATGTAAAATTTATTTATTTATATTACAATTATATTATATGTTCCTACACTTTATTTCTGCTTTGATTTTAAGGTCTAATTGTGCCTGTCATCACTATTACAATTTCTAATAAAAAAACATGTTTAATAATTAAAATTAAGACTATACTTTTGTTACGCTAGATGATATTTTAAAAATAAGAAAAAAACAATCTTGTGTTTTAAAAATAAAGAATTTCATTAATATATTAGTTGTTTTGTTTTAGTTATTTCAAAATCTTATGTGCTGTCACTATCAAAACATAGCCGCCTCTCACATACAACATCCGCTGTACAAAATTAAAGTGCACAGCTGCTTTTTTTAGAAATCAGAAATTAAATCATAGTTGACAATTGTTTTCCAGCGGCTCTATATATTTACTTATGACTAGAATTTAATGTTAAGGGTACCATATGATATTTTTTACATGTTGACGTATGTAATTAATTAGGTTGAACTTTTATTTTGCATATATATTACACAGTATAACTCTACAATTATTAGTTCACCATATCCTTCATCGAAACATAGCTTAAGCATAGTATTAATATTCATGTGAAACAAAATATTGATACAAAATTCTATACAAAAAGGAATATTCCATAAAAATCCGGCATGTATATATTTTTGTATTCAGTTTTAGTTGAATTTTTTTGTCCGAAATGAATGAAGCATTAAGCTTTGTGCAAAATGGTTGTTCAGACAAGATGCGATCACAGACCAATACAAATCATTATACAGATTGGAGAGTCGCAGACACAAATACATACGTTCATTGTTGTTTTCTTTTAATTTATCATTTTAAATTCATTTAGTTTGTATTGCATAAAAATAAAATAATGTACTTTTACCATTATACCAAGAGAAAATTTATGTAATTGGAGTTGATTAAAAAAAATGTCGCAAATGATTGAAATCATTAGCACAAAAATATTACAAGACATTTCTAAGCCGCTGTAACATTTCTTTATACGAAACAACCCTGTTCACTGAATCTTTGACAATTCGTGACAGAAGGATGGAAGATACAAATATTTAATCATTTTGAATTCATATATATTAATGAAGCCGAAACTACTTTTAAAACTATTTCGATTACCGTTCTGAGACCTATAGTGCTATCGTTGACAAATTAAGACTATTGATGAGTCTAATAATGTCCAATAATTCACTTCAATTTACTTGATTATAATGAAAAACCAGATAAAAATTTTGTATCAGAGTCCTCATTATAGGAGAATATGTAAAACTTGGGTCACTTTTTACTTTCCAATTATTGTTTTACAAAATAGTTTTAATAACTATATTTACCTATTATGGGCTGACAATTATATATTTTAAACAAGTCTAATTCTTTATATTCAAAAATTAAATAAAAGGTGTTCCATGATAATACCCCAGTATTTTAGATGTTATCCTAATAATTCATAATTAATCAAGATAACAAAAACTTAATAAACAACCTTAAAGAGGTTTTTCGAAAAATAGTGAACTAATAAAAAATTCTATTTTATATTATATTATTTTAATTAATTAAATTTTTGACTGATCATACAGTTGTTTCGAGTATTGCTAAATAACCATTATCAGTGGTTTCGGAAATAATTCATTCTTATAAACATTCTTACTAATAATCTTATTAAAAACTTTATACATATTATAATGATTATTTTTTTTTTAAGTAAACATATGGGAATATATTTAAGAAAACATCAAATCCTTGCTTTTTCCTATTCCAGCAAAGATCTTTAGGTATTTTCTTAAAACATCTTAGATGATTACATTTAAATATAAAATTATATTTTACAGAGAAAGTTAATAATTAATTTTTGTATTTTATAATTTATATTATTTTCAAACAAATATTTAAAGGTTTCTACTCAAGTTTATTAAAAAGCATATATGAAACACTGGAAATCCTTGCAGTGTGGAACGAAAGGCGCCAAAAGTGGACACAGACTGCAATTTTTGTTAATTAATAATAATTCGCGGTTATTTTAATATTTATATATTTAAATAATACAAGTTATTATTATGTTTAATGTTATAAACAATTTTTAAATCAAATTATTTGTGAAATATATTTTGATGAAAAAATAAAAAAGTAACCAATTGATGTATATGAAATTTAGGTGGAGCTATAAAAGTTCATTGTTTTTGATCAATTAATCGGTATAATATAACAATCAGTGTAATAACATACTTAAAATTTAATTTACAATTGTAATTGCACAATTAAAAAATTATTTTTCATAACGTATATAAATCCCCAATTTAACAAAAAAAAATTTCTTCATAATATAGTTTTTGCAAAACAAAGTATTTTATATAGTTTCATTAAATATTATTTAATAATAGCAATAATAATTAAAGCATTTCTTTTACATATAAACAAAAACAAAAAAAAAGAAAATGAATATGTGCTGTGATTTATGTTTTACGCGCTTTTATTTTGCTTTTCAGCAATTTCAACTTTCGGTTCCGCCACTGGTGCTGATTCCGCCACTGATGTTGATTCCGCCACTGGTGTTGCTTCCGTTGGTGGTGTTAATTCAGCTATCGGTGTTGATGCTGCTGCAATTTTATTAGCAATTTCAGCTAATTTTTCACGACGATAGTCCTTTCGAGCTTCATCCAGCAGCACATTATGTAGTAAATTACGATTTGTCGATAAGTCTGGTAAAAGTGAAGGGTATGGATTTCCTCGAAGTTCCAGCACAGATCGTTTGTAATATATGCCAGGGTACTCGCGCGGTGCTTTATACATGCGTGTGTATGCCAAATTAGTACTTTCGAAACGTGGCGCTAACACTTTAAATAATTTATGCACTAACTGCTTTTCCAATAGCCAATAATTAGCCAATTCCATTGTCTCTTTATGCCTATCTCCATGTCTGATCGCATTTGATATTAACTTTAAAGGTAAGTACAATAATTTATATGTTTAATACTTTAAAATCAAAGTTCTTACCAATTCTGCATAACCACGTGCCTCATCGGCTCTGTTGTAGTTTAGTTCAATCCTTTCGTGTTTGACTAGCGCCGTAATAGTTTTACGGAGTTTCAATAGGCGACCCTCAGGTCCATTGGGATTCTTTAAACGACGATGAGTTGGACGTACAGCTATGCGTAGTTGCGATATTAATTTACTCACATCTGCTTGATTCATTTTCGATTATTATTTGTCGTGTTCAAAATTACTTTTTATTTATAAATTTCTAAATCTTATTTTTACGTAAACATTCCAGCCGCACGCGTTGAAAATAATGTAAAATCGGCAACAGCTGTTTTTTTGTGGAATGTGTGCCGCTGTGGAAACTGTTTGAGTGGAATTTATTTCTATGTACAGGGTTGCATTTGCATAACATTTTAAACCATTTTGTTTTAAGCAGGAATAATATGCTATATCATATGAATTATATTATTTTTGTAAATTGTTTGAATAATTTATATTATTTATATTTGTTTAAATTATACCTAATAGTATTTTATACATAATATTAGAATACTGTAAATGTTTGATATTTTCATAAAGTTGTTTTAGTTCATTTATTAATTAAACCATTTGTTTTTAATGTTCTTTACTCTAAAAAAAGCGTTATATTAATTTATTTCACTAAAATGATTAATTTTCTTGATAATATAAAATTCAATATATATATGCATAGTGGATATCGTGGTTTATTTTTCGATTTGGCTATTGATACACAACCTTCTATATTTATTGTACTAATAACATCAAATCTACCATATCGAATCTAGGATGTTAATAATAACTTTTATGAGGATTGAATGCATGCATATAGGCAGGGAGGATATGCTTATGATTCGGCTCCTTGAGATTCAACTTTCTTCGAATTTAATCGATGTGGTACACAAACACTATATCCATGATGCTCAACTTGGGTTTGTTAAAGCATATGCTCCCCTTGCAGAATGTCCCTCATGTCAACATTCTTTAGTCCCATTTTTGAAAGGTGGTAGTTAACAGGAACTTGTGTAACTAAAAAACCAGTTCGGTAAGAGCTGATGTTCAGTCAATAATATTTAGTCCGAGAAATTTATGTCTTTTTTTCCGTTGGTATAGACCCTTGACTCCGAAAACGCACACATGGGTAGGTAATATGTGAACATAAAATCCTTATTTTTGCTTTTACTTTTTTTTTTGGAATTAATTTGTTAAAGTACAGGATACAAAATTGTTCTAATGTAGGATATCTAAATAGTGAATAATAGGGTTGTTCATGATATTTTACAAATTCTAAAAATATTCCATCCCAAAGATTATTTTAATATTTCAGATGGAAACAATTTCTGAAAATGTTTTATCTTATGTTTTTTTTTTATTTTTAATTTAGTAAAATTTAACGTTATAAGCAGAGCTTCGATCCGGAATTTTTTCAGTTCCGGTTTTCGTTTCGGTTCAAGAGAAAAAAATATATCGGTTCGGTTCCGGTTTTCGTTCCGGCAAATATATCGGTTTTTTTCGGTTTTCGGTTCAGTTCCGGTTCGATTCCCTGGTTATAAGCTTTAGACTGCATAGTACTCTTTATGCTTTAATAATTCATCGTCTTTAACTTTTTGTATCAATTAGTGATTGCAGTTATGTGGGTACTTCATAGAGTTGGGGTACTAATTTAGATTTAGCAACGGTGATGATTAAGTTGGCATTAAATAAATTAAACCTAAGTCGTTTTGTCTGTATATCTACATTACTTTACCTCCAAGTTTGTACAAGCAATGTCTGAGCCTGGACTGTCTTCTGTTTTGATGGAGTGCCAAAAAACTTCGTAATAACTTAGATAATTTGTT